CTGTAATCCTAGAACTTTGGGAGGCCAATGTTGGAAGACTGCTTGAGACCATAAGTTCAAGACCAGCCTGGCCAACATGGTGAGACCTCATCTCTATAAAATATGAAAAAATTAGCCAGGTATGGTGGCATGTGCCTATAGTTGTAGCTACTCAGGAGGCTGAGGCAAGAGGCAGAAGTTCAAGGCTGAAGTGAACTACGATCATGCCAATGCATTCCAGCCTAAGCAACAAAGCAAGACCCTATCTCTAAAAATAAACAAACAGATAAACTATAGCTAAGTTAGCAATAACTACCTTTAAAATTCTAACAGAGGATAATATTGATTTGAGTAATAACTCTCTCTCCCACATGGCATGGCTAGACTTGCGTCAATTAAATGCTCTCTTTACTGCAATGTCGTGAATTAATTTTGTTTACACAGTGAGCAGGAAGAACTCGTCAGACAAATTTTGGGGCTTATCCAGGATCCATCCTTGCAAATGTCCGCCCATGGTTCATCAGCCTCCTAACAGTATAACAGATTTAGAGGTAAGCTCTGGCAATTGCTTATTTCTACTGAAGGCCATCTCTGGCACTGTACCTGCTGGTGAAGCACTGTCGACTCATAGGGTATGGATCTAATTGCAGTGAAGAAATAGTCCTGGAACCTGTCTGAAACACCTCTTATTAAAAAATCTGTTTGCCCTCATCACATACAAAGACCTAACCTATCTGCAATGCCACCTCCTGGTATGGGAAACAGCTGTTCACCCGTATTCATCTAGTCTCAGGACTAGGAAACTAAAGAGATATGGGATGGTATATTTAAACTTGCTCTTTCCTGTTTATCTGAATTATTTCTCACAATCTACTCATTATCCTATATTCTGCAGTTCACTTATGTGCTATGCTAAAACTGTAAGTAAGAATATTAGCATCTTTCTCATGTATGCCTTGGAACCCCAACCAGGCACCTGTGAGTACCTGCAGACAGCTGCAAAGCAGTTCCACTGCTCTTACCCTAGGGGCAACCCACACCCCAACTATGACATTAGGAAGAAGTTAGAGCAATCCTCACCCTTTTCCCATCTCGCAACTTACAACTCAGGATTGAGGCATGCTAAAACTCAAAGAGCGAAAGTGAAACAGCCTTTGCAAAAATTATCGAAGTGAGAAAATTATGGCACTGAGGAGACATGACCTAGCTTACACCCCTGTAGCCTCTAACCTTCAAGCTCCCTTGATTATTCCTAGGCTTAGGCCAGGCTAGCTTTGGGAAACATTTAGTTTATAGCTTAAGTAAAAATAGTCCTTCCCTAAAACTCAACTGTCTTTATAAAGCTAATGAGAGACCACCAGGCTAGGAGGATAAAGAAGCCTAAATTTTGCTAAGTTGTAGACATTAATAATTGCCAGCCATTATTCCAGAGGTCACAAGATATGCAACTTCCCCCAGTATTCCTGCAGATATAATCACTATTGCAGAACCTAACAGTGGCCTTGTAAGATACCTTTACAGGTTTTTTGCATGTCTGAAACCAATGATGGTTCCACCTGGACCCACCAACTGTTCCTGTGGTCCCACCCAGAGGAGATTCAGCATGCAAGAGGATAATTTCCCACACCCTATGATTGCACCTTCCAAACAATCACCAGCAAGCACCCATTGCCTAGCCACCCCTAACTCTTCCCTCAAACAACTTTTGAAAAACCCTTAATCTATGAGCCTTCGAGGAGAATGATTTAAGTAATAAGTCCATCTTCAGTGTGGTGTGGCTGGCCTTGCATCAATTAAACTCTTTCTCTACTGAAATACCATCAATTGATTTGGTTTGTGCAACAGGCAGAAAGAACCTGTCAAGGGTTACAGTATCTGGCCCAAATATGTTCAGCTGTCTCCAGAAAAATATTTATTCAATTGTCCTTCATATAAAAAAGGGAACCAATTACCTATGCAGCCATTGGGCACTAGATGTGCTTTGTTGGCAAGATCAAAAATGTGGGGCTCTAAGAATTCTTAAGAAATGAGAAAAAGAGGAGCATTGAAAATCCAAGTGCTGTGATTTCTCATCACATTAAAGTAACAATGAGACCCTCTACTGAAATGATGAGCACACTCACATGGCCTTCTAAAGTGTCAGCACTGGCTTCCTCAGGCCTCTGCAGGATAAACATACTCATCCCTTGGAGATTTGCTATCTTTGTGGCTCACAGACACTAATCCCAGAGTCATAGTCTGTCCCCAGGTGATGACAATGGGAAGAAGGACAACACCACAACTACTGCAACTACATCACAGAATGGATCTTCACAGGTGGGCTGCAGTTGAACATCACCTGCCAAGTCTGCCATGGAGTTTCCACCATGATAGACCCCTTCTGGGACACTGGCTTAGATCTGCTCTTCCGCCATCTTGTGGCCCGTGAAGGCAGTATGGTGAATGGGGAAAGCCACAGGTTGGGAACCACCACACCTTATGGACTGTTTGCAAAGGTGAGAAGCCAGCCCACCAGTGCTCGCGTGGCAAGGAAGTATCTTCCTACAGGAAGGCTGTTGTTGATCAGGACCAAAGCAGGGCTTTTATTTCACATACTATCCAGGATACAGCCTTGAGAAAAGATGTGGCATTAGCCTGAAGTTTGCTGCAGTTGCTCTTGCCAGTTTATGCTGGTTTTTTTAATTTTTTCTTTGTTTATCGGATGACTAAATATTGGTGTTCACTAGCTTTGCATTGTGTAGGGTAACTGTAACACTAGCTACTATTTCAACTTCCCTCATGTAAATGATCTGAGAGCAAAAGAGCAAAACTGGAAGCTCCCTTATCTTTTGTGGTTAATAACCTAAACCACAGTGTAAGCTAAGAGCTGAGTGCTCTCCCCATAGTCCATGGCCTTTTTTACATGTGATTAAAATATAGTTGTGGTGTTCTGTACTTATAATCATGTTTGAAATTGTCCATTTACTGCTTCAGTCTAGATAAGTAATAAGATTTAAGATGTGACTATTATAAAATGTATTTAAATAGCTGTAGCATACAGTTTACAATTGTAGAGAGAGCAGAAAGCCTTCCTAAACTTTATGTTAATTGAGTCTAGTGTTTTAAAGTCTTTCTTTTGAGTGCATTAATTAAAGGTTATTGCAGAAGAAAAAAAACCCTAGTAGAAATTACAATGAAAACACAGTCTAACGCTATCTTTTGTGTTAAATTATGTTTAAGAATAAGAAAAATCTACAGTTGAACAATTAGAATTTATTGTTATATATTGATTGTGCAAAATACTAATGGCAATATTTGGATTTAATTGTTTATAACTATCATCTTGCAAAACCTATGAGAAATAGGAAGATTCGTGCACAAGTACCTCAAATAAGATGATAGGCTACTTTTGAACATAAGCATCACTATGTACACTATATGAAAATTTGGTTTTTTGCTCATAATATTTCAGTTATTATTGACCCTTAACTTGTAAGTTACATCTAGACCAAAAACTATACATTAACAATAAATATCTGCTGAGAAGCCATATCTTTGCACTTCCCTGAGTATGGGTGACTCTTGAAATGCGTACATCCCTTGTACATAATGTACATGTAAAAATATATATATTTCAACTAAATGTTCTCATAAAATCTTTCTACCCATCATTCTCCTGTGCTCAAAATGTACACCAAAACCCCAATAATGTTTAAGTATTTAAAGATATTGGCTCCTGAAGGGCATGAAGATTTTAGGTCAAAATGAGCCTCATCACCACCAGTGTGGATCCGTCTTTTAGCAACTGAATTGTCACTTAGGGGGCCAAAGATAACAGCTCTTGGATGGATATATAGACTCCTTCAAGAATTACTCTTCCATAAAAGATAAATTTGATGTTGACCTGCTGGCAACATGTTTTTCCTGTTCTAAATCCTTATAAGTAAATCTGATACAAAATGTCTGGTGGGTATGAATATTCTGTGAAACTTAAAAAGACCATGTGATGGACATTGCAAAACTCGATCTCAAAATTTTAAAATTATTTTCCAGATACAAAATAACTATAACTGTGTTAAGGGCACAGCAATTAAATTATATGATTTTTTCTCATAAATAAGAAAGCAACATCTTTTTAAAATATTCAATGTTTTCAAAATACTGTTTCCATCTTCCAAAGTTCAGGCTTTAGATTAAACATTGATGCAAATATGAATACCCTTCACTGATCTTCAACAATAATATTATACTCAACCCCTTAATAGGAGAGGACAACCCCATCCTGATCAGATACTATAGGTGTCACTGAAGAATTCTAAATATGCCTTTAAATGTTCAATAAAATATTCTAAATAAGTAGAACTGAATACATCTGAGAATCTATGAAGCTTTATATGTTTGCTGATATTTTCAATTCCTAAACATAATCTGAGATGATAAAAAGTTCGTCAGCATCTCAATTTTTATATTGATGACCCAGAAAAATTACTCACTTAGATGGTTCATTTCTGTCATTTTTGATAAATTTGGAAATTTAATGTTAAAGTATGAATTGTTTTTCATTTTAAATGTAAAGTAGCCCCCACTTAAAATCTAAACTGTGTAAACACATGATCATTAGCAATTCTGCATCACTTGACATAACAAGGTCTGAAACAAGGTGAGACCCTTATTATGATGAACAGTATAATATTGTCACAGTCTATCAATAAATGATCTGTAAATGGGACCCATCGAATGTTAAAAGAAATCTTTTTGAAGAATAACCTATCAAGTAAATCATTTTCTTGATATCATCATCAGCTTTCACCTTTAATTTACTAAGGATATCTCGCTAGAAATATTAAATGAAAATGATTAATATCACTAATTATCCTTTCTTTCCAATAAAAGTTATATTTTAAGTTACTTATTATTGACATTCACACTACAATGTCACTTGCAATTATTTAATAAAATCACTTGCCGCTATTTCATAGAACTTCTGGAAAATTTCTTGACTAACATCCTCTTTAAAAACAATGTTAAATTAAATCACTTACTGCAAACAGCCCACTCTTACTGCTACAGGAATGTGGGGAAGTTGGGTGGCCCACTTCAGTGTCACATCTTGAAAAATATGCAACATGTTATTATGGTTTCCAATCAAAGTATTTATTGTCCCTTCAGAGACTGTAGGTTGAAAATACAGAAAAGAGACACTAAGAAAACAGTCATTTGGAACAGCATGTCTCTGTTAGGAAATTTATAACACAAACTAATTCTAACATCTTGATTTTAATACATAAAGATTTTAAGTAATAAGACTTTTTTTGTAACTTTAATCTACCAGTATAAAAAAGAAAGGAATCATTTTACAGTCTTGGATGCTATAACTAGATAATCGCCAACACTTTTGCATTTCATCTAGAAAGCATGAATTTCATTAATATGTAACACATTGAAGCTAATGATTTACTAGGCATTCACTACAGATAATTCATTCTATTAGACATTACAATTGTGCTTAAAAAAGAGTCTGATGTTCTCTTTAATGCATCTTGAACAGCCACATTATTAATGTATGCCAGAGGCCAATTTTACAAGTCATTTTGTACAAAGTAAAATGACTGGCAAAACCAAATGTGTGCTTTATATCAAACTTCTATTCAAACTCTGAAAGTTAAAATTTCCATTACATACTCAGTATTAAACTATTTTCATATATGTTTAAAATATGTGTATGAGTGTAGCTTTTTCTGGTGTATATCACATAACCTTTTCATATGGAAGAGATGAAAGAAAATCTTTCTACACACCTGAGCAATATGGCAGAAAACAACTTGGGCTCCAATCAAGCTTCTTCATGAATCGAATTTGTCCATTATCCTTAAGACAAAAAAAGTTTCTCTCACCAAGAACAAAAACAGAAGATGCTGACTGATTGAAAGAGACAATACATATATCAAGGGCTTGCTCTCCAATATTTAGAGTCCAATCCACCTACAAAGCAAAACTCAAGATCAATTTAGTTGCTAAACTGAGAACATATCAGCTTTATTTTCATATCAACATAAATTAATAAAGTGCTTTACAACAAAGCAGAAATATAAAGAAGATGGGCTAATCTCTTTTGTTTCTTTATGCTTTTTTTTCTCACTATGATCATTTTTCTGATATTTTACAAGATGCTAATCAGTTTTGTTCCATGTCTCACCAGATGATATTAGCTATTCTGCAGTTGAAAACACTAAAACACGTATCTGCTTCCCTAAAAATCTTCCATGAAAATATTGTGCTTAATTTGCAAATCAAATTTAATAATCAGTAGAAACTATAATCATTATTATTATACATGTGCTTTTATATGACAACTAAAAATATATCAATATGCATATACAGAGTAGTCACGAAGCCACTGAACAGTAGAGCAGAATATACATAAGAGCTGCTCCAGAGTATCTTCATATTGCTGGAATACAGTTAATGTTCAATAAATGCTTCTTAAAGTAATGAAAGAATGAATGTAAAATGATGTATAAAATGAGACCTTCTCAGGATTCATCTCCCACACAATTAATATTTCCAAGTCAGCCAGGAAAATGCAAAAGAGAAAAAATATACCATTTTGAAAAAGATTGGCAGACAGGTATATATTTTTTAAGTTTTTCTTTTTTTTAAAAGTATAGAACACTTCATGAATTTGCATGTTATCCTTGCACAGGGGCCATACTAATCTTCTCTGTATCGTTCCAATTTTAGTATACATCCTGCCGAAGCGAGCACATTTTTTTCAGTTTTTCTAACTTTTATTTTAGGTTCAGAGATACATAGGAAGGTTTGTTATATAGGCAAATTCATTTCACAGAGGTTTGGTATACAGATTATTTTATCACCCAGGTACTAAGCATAGTGTGCAACAGTTATTTTTTCTGATCCTCTCCCTCCTCCCACCTTTCACCTTCAAGTAGGCCTCAGTGTCCGTCACTCCCTTCTTTATGTCCTTATGTTCTCATTATTTAGATTCCATTTGTAAGTGAGAACATGTGATATTTGGTTTTCTGTTCCTGCATTAGTTTGCTAAAGATAATAGCCTCCAGCTCCAACCATGTTCCTGCAAATGACATCTCATTCTTTTTTATGGCTGCATAGTATTCTATGGTGTATATGTACCACATTTCCTTTATCCACTCTGCTGTTGATGGGTATTTTGATTTTTTTTAACTTGCTGAGGATTGTTTTATGTCCAATTGTGTGGTTGATTTTAGAGTATGTGCCATGTGGTGATGAGAAGAATAAATATTCTGTTGTTTCGGGATGGAGAGTTTTATAGATGTCTATTAGGTCCATTTAGTCAAGTATTAAATTTAGACCTTGAATATCTTTGTGAATTTTCTGCCACAATGATCTGTCTCATACTGTCAGTAGGGTGTTGAAATCTCCCACTATTATTGTGTGGCAGTCTAAATCTCTTAGTAGGTCTCTAAGAAATTGCTTTATGAATCTGGGTGCTTCTATGTTGGGTGCATATATATTTAGGATAGTTAGATCTTTGTGAAATTGAACCCTTTGCTATTATGTAATGCCCCTGTCTTTTTTTGTCTTTGTTGGTTTGAAGTCCATTTTGCCAGAAATTAGGCTTGAAACTCCTGCTTTTCTCTATTTGCTTAATAGAGTTTTCTCTATCTCTTTATTTCAGCTTACAGGTGCAAATAAAGCATGTGAGATGAATCTCTTGAAGACAGCATACCATTGTGTCTTGCTTTTTGATCCAGCTTGCCACTCTGTGTCTTTTAATTGGGACATTTAGCCTGTTTACATTCAAGATTAGTATTGAGGCTGGGCGCGGTGGCTCACGCCTGTAATCCCAGCACTTTGGGAGGCCGAGGCGGGTGGATCACGAGGTCAAGAGATCGAGACCATCCTGGTCAACATGGTGAAACCCCATCTCTACTAAAAATACAAAAAATTAGCTGGGCATGGTGGCGCGTGCCTGTAATCCCAGCTACTCAGGAGGCTGAGGCAGGAGAGTTGCCTGAACCCAGGAGGCAGAGGTTGCAGTGAGCCGAGATCGTGCCATTGCACTCCAGCCTGGGTAACAAGAGCGAAACTCCGTCTCAAAAAAAAAAAAAAAAAGATTAGTATTGATATGTGTAGATTTGATCCTGTCATTGTGTTGTTAGCTGGTTATTATGCAGACTTGTTTGTGTGGCTACTTTATACTGTCATTAGTCTGTGTACTTAAGTGTTTTTTGTATTGGTTAGTAACAGTCTTTCTTTTCCATATTTAGTGCTTCTTTCAGGAGCTCTACTAAGGCATGTCTGGTGGTAACAATTTCCCTTCCCATTTGCTTGTCTGAAAAGGTCCTTATTTCTTCTTCACATATGAAGCTTAGTTTGGCTGGATATAACATTCTTGGCTGAAGATTTTTTTTCTTCATGAATATTGAATACAGGCCTCCAATCTCTTCTGGCTTGTAGGGTTTCTGCTGAAAGGTCCACTATTAGCCTGATGGGGCTCCCTGTGGAGGTAACCTGACCTTTCTCTCTAGTTGCCTCTAACATTTTTTCTTTCATTTTGACCTTAGAGGATCTGAAGATTTTGTGTCTTGGGGATGATCATTTTGTGCAGTATCTTGCAGGGGTTCTCTGTATTTCCTGAATTTGAATATCAGCCTCTCTAGTGAGGTTGAAGAATTTTTCATGGAAGATATCCTGAAAGAGGTTTTCCACCTTGCTTGCTTTCTCCCCATCTCTTTCAGGGATGCCAATGAGTTATAGAGTTGGTCTCTTTGCATAATGCCAAAATTCTTGGAGGTTTTGTTCATTTCTTCTTCCCTTTTATTTTTGTCTGACTGTCTTATTTCAGAAAGCCAGTCTTCAAGCTCTTTCCAAAAACAAAGATTAAAAAAAAGAGTCTTTCCACAGCTTGGTCTCTTCTGCCATTAATACTTTTGATTGCATTATGAATTATTATAGTGTGTTTTACAGCTTTATCAAATCCAGTTAAGTTCTTTTCTATACTGGCTATTTTGTCTGTCGGCTCTTGTATCATTTTACTGATTCTTAAATTTCTTGGATTAAATTTTGACATTCTCCTGAATCTCAATGGTCTTTCTTTCCTATCCATATTCTGAATTCTATTTCTGTCATTTTAGCCATCTCAGTCCAGTTAACAACCCTTGCTGTAAAACAAGTGTGATCATTTAGAGGAAGAAAGACACTGTGTGGTCTTTTGAGTTGTCAGAGTTCTTGCACTGGTTCTTTTTCCTCTGTGTATGTGGGTGCTCCTTTACCTGAGGCGTAAATTGAATAGAGTCAGTAGATTTCTTTTCAGGATGTTTTCAGAGGGCTGAAACTTTCTGCAAGGTCTTTATTTGTAGCTAAATTATTGCTTTGGGTTTCATAGTGGGGTATGTTAACAAGTGTATTGGTGAGTGGGTAGGCTCTTGCTCACTCATGTGGCTCCTCTGTATTTTCTTTTTTTTTGAGATGGAGTCTTACTCTGTTGCCCAGGCTGGAATGTGGTGGCACACTCTCGGCTCACCGCAATGGTTGCCATCATGCCCCCTATCAATGCTCTGAAAGTGTGGGCTCTTCTCCCACTTGTGTGCTGGCTGAAGATCACAGCTTGGCACCCCCAGGCTCCACTCTGCCTCTCTGGGGAGATCTCAGGCTTTATGTTCCCTCCCCAGCTTGGAGGTAGCAGAGGAAGGGACTTAGCAGTGGTTGGGGCCAAGGGTCTTGTCTCCTGGGGCTTCACCTGAGAAAGATGCAGAGCTGCAATCAAACCATAATCAGCCCAAAATGGGAGGGCTTCACTAAGGGCCCCAAGCCAGGGTCCCTGACAGGCATATATGATATATGAAAGTAACAGTGAGATGGTTTCACAAAGCAAGATCTACCCAAAGAGGAAATAGGGCTGCTGTCAAAGTTAGGCTATAATCAACACAATGGATCCAAAAAAAGATCATGAAATGTCACATTAAAGACAAGATGAATTTTTGGCCAACAAGACATGATCTTAGGTATTCATCTATTTTAGATATTAAAATATTTGAAGATGGTATAAAATCCAAATGGGGCTGGCCAGAAAGGCAAATATTGCCAGTATACATATAAGAACAATCTGTAGGGCCGGGCGCGGTGGCTCAAGCCTGTAATCCCAGCACTTTGGGAGGCCGAGGCGGGTGGATCATGAGGTCAAGAGATCGAGACCATCCTGGTCAACATGGTGAAACCCCGTCTCTACTACAAATACAAAAATTCAGCTGGACATGGTGGCGCATGCCTGTAATCCTAGCTACTCAGGAGGCTGAGGCAGGAGAATTGCCTGAACCCAGGAGGCGGAGGTTGCGGTGAGCCGAGATCGCGCCATTGCACTCCAGCCTGGGTAACAAGAGCGAAACTCCGTCTCAAAAAAAAAAAAAAAAAGAAGGAAGAACAATCTGTAGGAGGGAAACAGCCTAATGAACATATATAGGTGCATCAGGCTATCTTAAGCTGAGCTAGAATTCAACACTAAGAAATTATTTGATTACTACTTATTTCAAGCATAGCTTACCTACATAAAAAAATTCCACGGGACAAGACATGAATGTCAGTCCCATGACAATTATATTTCTTATTACATTGTAACAGGTCAGCATTCACCTTCGGGTGTCAGTGTCTGTAACTCAGGCTGATGTGTACCTTACTCTGAGAGGTGATTTATTCAAAGTGAACAGACAAATTATGTTTCTGAGGCCACAGTCTGAGATCCAGCCACTAAACATTTCCAATTGCCAGATACTGAATTCCACTCTCTGTGACCTCCACTTAGGGAAATACACTAAAATTCTGAATTAATGAGTATCATAAAACACTGAGATTTGCTAAGAATGACAATAAAAAAAATTATTCCACTTCCAGCCAAGATGGAGTAATGGGAAAGGATTTAGCATCCCACCTAAAACAACCACAAAATGAACAAAATAAATGAAACAATAGTTTGCAAGGCACTGGACACCAGACAACAAAGCACAGCAATCCCTTAAAGACAGAAAACAAATGAGGTGAGTGGCCTTACACCTCCAGCCTTGAAAGGTGTAAGGCTTTCACCAAGGCTGATTGCTCCAGCCTTGAAAAAGTTTCTAGACCATAGCGCAGGGATGAAGAACCTAGGCAGAGCCCAGTAGACTCTGAATCGTGGGAATGGATACTCAGAGTCTAGAGAAACCACAGCAGCAGTTGGAGTTAACAAGACAGCATACCAAATAGCTGCATACAAAAGCTGCATACAGACAGAACTCTGAAGGTCTACAGAGTACCCTCGAATATTCAGCTGAGTACTTATTGGCAAATTCTTGTAAGGAAACTACACAAGGCCAGGGAAAGAACCACCCAAAAAGATAAGAGATAACAGTGCCCAGCATTCACACAGTGTATAAAACACTTCCTCTGCCTACCAGCTAGGCTGGAAAATCTCATAATTCTGGGTAAATTGGGCACAGTACAAGAAGGATCTTACCTGTGGAGTAGGCAATAAGTAGCCCAAAAATGAGGACTGCCCTGGTCCCACTTAACAAGTCCTGAGAACAAAGCCCCCCAAAAATCAAACTGTTTCCAAGTAATTTAACTGTGTCCCAGGGATAACCTCAAGAATAGCATACACATAAAAAATGAAAAATTCATCACCAGCAGGCCCACACTAAAAGAAATGTGAAAGGAATTACTTTAGTTTGAAGGAAAATGACACCAGATGGAAATATGGAGTTATACAAATTAAAGAAGAACAGCAGAAATGGTACCTACATGGGTGAATACATATTATTCTCATAATTAAAATCCGATTAAAATATAATTAATTAAGAAAAAATAATTATAATATAATATGAGGTTCACAGCCTACGTAAAAATAAAATATATGACAATAGCACAAAGGCTGGAAGGTGGGAAACAGAAGCAGAGCTCTTCCATTATACGTAAGGTAATATATCACCTGAAAGTAGACTGTGTTAAGCCAAAGATAAATACTGAAAACCTAAAGTAAACACCAAAATAATAAAACAAAGAGTTATAGCTAAACTAACAAAGGTAAAATAGAATCACAAAAAAATACTGGATAAATCCAAAGGAAGGAGAAAAAAAGAAAACAAAAAACCTAGATAGACATATAGATAAATAAAACAAAATTAAATGGCAGAGTATATATTATACTGATTTTAAAAAGCAAATCCCAACCAACTTGATGCTGCTTACAAATTACACACTTAAAGTGTAAAGGCACAAACAGGTTCAAAGTGAAAAGATAGAAAAAGGTATCAGAATAACACTAAGCAAAAGAAAACTGAGTATTTTACCAACAGATTAAATAGCTTTCAGAAGAAAAGAAGATTATCAAATAAAAGGATAAAGGTCATTTCATAATGTAAAGGGGATGAGTTCATCATGAGACAGAACAGTCTTAAATATTTATGTACCTAAAAACAGAATTCCAAAACATCTAAAGCAATAAATAAACATAGCTACAAGCCTGGTGCGGTGGTTCATGCCTGTAATCCCAGCACTTTGGGAGGCTAAGGCAGGTGGATCACCTAAGGTCAGGAGTTCAAGGTCAGTCTAGCCAACATAGTGAAACCCTGTCTCTACTAAAAATACAAAAAAATTAGCTGCACATGGTGGTACGTGCCTGTAGACCCAGCTACTTGGGAGGCTGAGGGAGGAGAATCACTTGAACCGGGGAGGCAAAGGTTGCAGTGAGCTGAGATCATGCCACTATACTCCAGCCAGGGCAAGAGAGCGATGCTCTGTCTCAAAAAAAATAAAATAAAAATAAATAAATATAGATATAGATACATATAGATGTAGCTAGATATATTTCCAAGGAGATACAGAAAAATCAACAATTATAGTCAGAGACTTCAATACCCCATCCTCAATAACTAACAGTAAATAGTAAAAGAACTAAGAAGGATACAGAAGAGCTGAACAACACTATCAACCAACATAATCTAATTGACATGTATGAAACACTCCACCTAACAACAGCAAAAAATACACATTCTTTTCAGGTGCACACTGAACATTTACCAAGATAGATCATATTCTAGGCCATAAGATAAATCTCAATTAATGTAAGAGAATTTAAGTCATGCAAGTTATTTTTTTGACCACAGAAGGCTTAAATAAAAATCAATAAATAAAAAAAGGTAGCTGTGAGTAACATAGGAAGCTATTAAATGTCTTCCCACAACTATCTTATTATAAGCATCCCTTTGGATAAGTTCTGCTTCTTCTGTAGTAGATTTCATATTGCTCCATGGCATCACAGTCCTGCAAAGTGACAATCATGTAACGAACTGAAGTTTTACTGCTATTTCTTACTCTAGTCACTAATTGAGAATGGAAAAACCACTGAAATGCAATTGTCTTCAGAATCCATCCTCAGGGTGAGACATGGACTAGTCAATAAAAACTGCAAATGATAATGAAAGGCTATTCCAGACAGAAGAAAAACTATATGCTTAGAATGAAGAAGAGCCATGGAATATGTGGAAGAATGAGAGGCCCTACATGGCTGAAGTGCAGACTATAAGAAACAAATGGAAGAATACCACTATTGAGGAGGTCAAAGGACAATTTGATCACCATTTTAATTAAGTTCAACCAGACGTTTTGCTATCTGCTTTATATATATATTATGTATAATACATATATTTATATATAAAATATATAATTTATCTAATAACCATTTTTTAGATGGATTCTTGCTCTGTCACCCAGGCTGGAGTGCAGTGGTGCCATCTCAGCTCACTGCAACCTCCGCCTCCAGAGTTCAAGTGATTCTCCTACCTCAGCCTCCCCAGCAGCTAGAACTCCACGCAAGTGCCACAATAAAATTAGCCCAGCTAATTTTGTATTTTAGTGGGGACGGGGTTTCTCCATGTTGGCCAGGATGGTCTCGAACTCCTGACCTCAGGTGATCCACCTGTCTAGGCCTGCCAAAGTGCTGGGATTACAGGCATGAGCCACCGAGCCCAGACTAGTAACAACATTTTAAAATAGATATTATCATCATTTTGCAAATGAGGAAACAGATTTAGTAAGGCTAACAAACTTGCTGTAACTTGCTCAAAAAAAACAGTATAGCTCTCAAGACCTATTTGACTTCAATCTGTCCTTAAACTATTATTACTATGGTGCTTCTAAGTTTTGTGCCAAACTATATCATATTTTTATTTATTGTGCTTTTTTACTTTTTGCCACCACTAAAAAAATATATCTTCATCTGATTCTGGACTCTTTCCAAGTTACCCTTCTATTCTACCATCTCCTAAACTTCTGTATCCTAATACAGAAAATTCTGCATAGTCTTCTCTAATAGTATTACATTAGTATTCTAAATTCCACATTATTTCTCCATTCAGCTTCCTTCCTGTATATCATCAAATTCACTTCACTGTTTCCACCATAATTTCAGTTGCTTCTATTTTTTGCCTTGCTGTCTATGGAAGTTCTCAAGGTAAGGAAGAATTCATAATCACCATCTATTCCCCAATTTATATTAAATGGAAAATTCATCATTTACAACTTTTCTTTAAACTACTTTTCAAATTATCAAACTTCACCTTTGTGTTTGAGCTAATTCTACCTTTGTGAGCTATGAATGTTTATCTTTTACTTATATATTTGGTTGCATGCCTATTAGTAACAAAATTAAGAATTAATGGCCAAGACAGTTCTAAATTTTATGCACACTAAGTATTTGCAGATGAAAGAAGCTTAACAAATCTTAAGCTCAAAAAAGAGAAAGAAAAGTACAAAATATAATCCCATTGCTCCAAACAAGTGATAAGAGAAAATCTGGAAAGCAGCTAGAGAAAAAAAGATACTTCAAATAATATACAAAATTTGGCCTATTATGGAGAGTTTTTTTACTGTTTTTATTTTTATTTGTTAGTTTATAATCACTTCTGTTAAAAGTGACTCCATCTGGATACTCAGAGTTCTTATAACTCTACAATCTGTTATATTATGACCATGACCAGGCATGTGTCTCCATTGCTCAACAATAACCAACTCAGTTCTTAATTACTATAATCATAATATAAGAAAGAGAATGGCTGACATTTTTTTTTTTACATTTTCTTCCCAGGAATTCTTACTCATAACAAACATATGTGATCATTTATGGCATTACTGAAATTTTTATATATTAAGAAAATGCCTTACAACTAGTCTTTTTCCAGAACCAAGTTTTTGCTGTTCAGTCTCCTGCCTTTTATCTGCATCTGTTGCAAAAGCAAGTACTTGGTACCTGTATAAAAGAAATTTTTAAAAATTGTAAATGAGTTTATAATTAAAAGTTATAAATTATTTTAACTTTAAAAGCACACAATAATCTATAAACACTATTGAGCACTTTTTCCTTGTTTTTAAAAACTGTAAAATTTAATATTGAATTCTTATCGAATGATATTGTGACATAAAACTGTGTAAAATGTCATGATAAATAAATTTATAACCATACGTCCATTATTCAGTATTGGGAAAACAGCTCTACCAACTATCATGGCGCTTCCATTAGAATTTAATGTGACAAACAATAATACTCAAGAAAGATCTTGCACCTAAACACCAAATAGACAGAAAAAAATGTAAATATGCAAAGCAGTCAGATGGAGTAGAAATTATCAACACATAATCTATGGAACCAAAAAGAGCTCAGTTTAATCCCTAGTGTAACAACTTACTAAGTAAGTATATTTTTGGCAAATAATCATTCTGTGTCTAGCTTCCCCAACCATACAAGAGAAATAATAATCTCTAGCACAATCATTGTTAAAAGGATTAAACAACAAATTATAAAAGTGCCTAGTAATTGGTATATAGTAGGTATACAATTATTGATTGATTGATGGGTTAACAGACAAAGAGACAGATTTATATAGAGATAGAGATCAATCATCGAGGAATTTGTATCTGGTAGGTAGTGAGTTCTCAGAAATGGACATTACAATCTATAAATATTTTACAGATTCTATTTCAATAGTGACATTTAGCTCAAATAATTCTTAAAAACAATTTATAAATATTATTCAATCTAGAAATGATTAATCTAACTAATAAAGTTGAAATTTCTATATTTCTCATTAATTGATGCATATATTTAGAATAATAATCTTACTCTACATAAAGCAACTACAGGCTCGCAGGTGTCTTTCCCTCTTATTGAATCAAAACTCACATTTTCTAAGAGACAGATATCTGAGAGTGTAAAAATCAGGGACCTGAATGAAGGCAATGTGGCATACCTAAACGAGCATTGAAATGTACAATGGTCTTCAAATGTCATATACCAATTCTGAAAACATCCTATCTCAATCAAGAATAGTTCACTTATAAAAAACCTGTAACTTCAGTTGAATGCAGAATGACTATGATTGAAGATTTTGCAAGACATATAAGCTGATGACAAACTTAACAACGGCTTTAAAAAATAGATCTTATAGTTAATATAAAAACTTAATGTATATAAATTCCATTAATTCCATAAACATACAGTAGGGATCTAATACAAACATTAGCAATGGAAAAACTACTACATGATATATATTCATAAGGAGCTCCCTCACTAGTTGTAGAGATTTATATATAGACAGCTAAGTATAACTCAGAGTATCCTGTGCTGATTAACAGAAGTTATGCACATAGTACCAATAGAACATGGTGGCAGTAACAAGTAATTGGGGTAGAAAAGATACGATCTTGGTATAGTTTCAGGAAGAGAAAGCTGGCTTTTAAAGGATGAATGAAAATTCCATCATACTAGTAAAGAAAAAGAAGGCATTATGGTAAAGCAAATACACATGCAAAGGCATGCAACAGTAAAAGAAACATGAAAGGCCATGAGAGGAGTTTAGGAGAGATGCATCGTAGGGAGGAATGAGTCATGGGGCACGTGAAGTAAGAGGGAGAAGATCTCAGCCTGGTAAACCCATGCTACAAACTCCCACAGGCAAATCTCTCTATGCCATCTGAGATTGACCTTCAAAAATCCCAAAGTCCCTAAAAGTACAAAATAATTAGACCTCACATTCTGACCTCCAAATAAGATTGTTTTCTTTTCCCAACTCATAGTAATGAAAATAGTATGCACTGGTGACTAGAACATCATCCCAAAGCTTGTCCTGCTATGGATCTAAGTCTTGGCAATTAATTACACAGGTGGTTCATTTCCTGCAGAAACCAACCGGCCAGGGGATAATATAGATATTCATGAGATTGCTGCAAAGGTCCAAAACTCTTTTTATATATGAGATGTTTGAAGCTTCTTATATGGCCATTATTTCATCCAAGAAATGAGTGAGCCTGTAACGTGGCCTCATTAACATTAAAACAGCAGGCAGAGGCACAGCCAAAATTGACTACTGATTTCCAAATCTAAATCATTTCTCTTCCTAAAAGACAACTCAGAAGAGTATATTATTACTTAAACTTGACAGTAAAATTAGATGATGACAAACTTACAAGACCATCTATTTTATGGTTCTTCCTTGACTCCTCTTAACTGTGACCAATAAAATACATAAAAATCTACTTCCAAAACCAATTCCAAGCAGATTTGGAAATTCTGAAATAAAATATTTGGATCTTTTCTTGTACCATTCAAGTGTTCAGTAACATAAACTAATCAGGGCCAATGCAACATCTTATGAAAGTGCCATACATTCTCAGAACAGATAAGCACTAATCGCAACTACAGCAAATGCAGGTGAACAGTGGTGCTTTCTGACTCACTAACCGCAAATGCTTAACAGGTCCTGTAGTGCACCAATAACGAATCCAACCACATAATTCAATACTCTTCCAAACTGTATCGTAAAAACAGCAGCAAATAACTAAAATACAGATTGAGGCGTTACGGAACACAGAAGTAAACCCTCCAAAATCATTTATTAACTGTCACCTCAAGGAGTGGCAGGAAGTTTTAGAACCTTGATATGTAACCCAGAGCACTTTACTAGAAATGGAAGCTCTGGATACAGAGCATTGTTATTTTAATTTCAACTATAGCTAAAACATTCTTGACTGCCAGGGAGAAGCCTTTTCATTGAAAGATACCAGGAACAAAACAGAAACCTTCTTTATACACTATTCACTCTTTTGTCAGTTCTCATTGAATACCTACTTTCACCAAGGTACAGTGCTAGGCACTTCAGGGGATACAGAATTCCTGCTATCAAGGAGCACTGAGCCTAGTTAACGACAAAAATGAGCAAGAGGAGACATTGCTTACATCTAGGTCAGGTAAGAACTGAAGGGAGCAGGGAGACTTCTAGACATAATTTCCGTGTGCAGAGAAGGAAGGAAGAGCACTTCAGACATAGGAGATAGTATGTGCAAAAACCAAACAGGAGAGAGAGAAAAGCCCTTAACATATATGGATAGTACAAAATTTCCATTTAGCCAGAGCCAAAGATTGGAGAAGAATATTTCTTTTTAAAATAGTCAATTAAATTCAATAAAAACACTTTTAAATATTTATTTAAGGCTGATGATTTACTTAGCAATGTATTAGGAGCTATTGACGGAATGCTGAGGAAGGGGTATAGCAGACAGCAGAGAAATAACACAAATGGCAGGTATACTTTTTTAAGGAGCCTCCCTATATTCAACTCTTAGAGGTCCCATCTCGAGGCCTCCTCAGCAACCTGTGCAAAGCTCTGCAATAGCCTGTAACACAAATAGACTGAAGTAGCTGAGCGGCTTCCTGCCTCCTTCAATACTACTTGAGGAAAGGAGGCACATCTATCTGACTGCATTTCCAGTACCTTGTACAGTGTGTGGCACACAGAAGCCTCTTGAAAAATATTTGCTGAATGAATGATTGAATAAATTATTCAGTCAGTGAAGAGAGGTTTAAGACAGATTCTTCTCTCAAGAACCTGATAATGCAAGATCCTCTGGAAAATGTCAGTATAAGAAGGCAATATATGACATTAGCAAAAAATCAGTGTTTTAGGCAATAATGTATCTAGGAGGTGAAAAAAGGAAGATAGTTGAACCAGCTAACCTTGAAAGTCCCTTCCAAGTCCAAAAGTCCACATCATAGAGGTATAGACTACATAGAGGTATAAAGCATTGAATGTCAATATTTAAAAGTCTAGGTTTCTTAGTAATAAAAATTATTCCAGCTTAAAGAGGTGTTTTAAAAGATATGAGAAGGACCCTTCAAAGTTTAAAGAGGTTAAAAAAAAAATCCAAGTGGAAAAATACAGGCCTGAACCAATGCGAATGGAAAGGAAAAGCTGAATAAGAGAAACTATTAAGGGCAGAGATTACTGAGTAAATAATTCTGAAAGGCAAAGGATAAGAAAAGAGAATAAAAGATGATCAAAGTCTGAACATATATGTCCCAGAGAATAGTGGTACCAAAGCCCTTACCCCTACCCCAAGAAAAGGCAAACAGATCGAAGTGGTGGCTCATGCCAGTAATTCCAGCACTTTGGGACACCAAGGCAGGAGGATCACTTAAGCCCAAGAGTTCAAGACCAGTCTGGGCAACACAGTGAGACCCCCATGTCTATATTTAAAAAAAAAAATAAGGGCAAACAATTCTCTTACATCAAAAGAAAAACTATGCTCAAAGTGTGCCCCTGAATTAGATTCATCTGGAGTAAGAATTCACAATGATGATTTCTGGGTTTTATCCTCAAACCTATTGAAAGAAATCTGGGGGACTGGGGACTAGCATCTGTAAATGTGCATTTTATAACAGGGTGCCCAGGTGACTTCTACACACCCTTAGCCTTCACCGGTTTTTATTTGAACATAATTAAGCAGGGTTTAAAGACATTAAGTATCAATATCAAAAATGAAAATAAGCTATGTGTTAAAAGCCTATTCTATTAACCAGTTATAGTCTATCACCTGAATATAGATAGATTTAATAGAGCCTCAGAAGAGCAAACTTATGGTTTTCATGCTTTCTCCCATCCAAAAATGCAGTAGTCATTATCATTTAATATAATCTATTAAAGTTGAAAGCATATATAAGTACAACATACTAGTTAATGTTATAAATCTTCTTGATTGTCATCATTTCACAATAATCTCATATCTCATCATTTTTACCATATAAATGATCCACATAATGGGTAACGTGTACATTTTTTAGTCCAAGAGAAAGATAAATTTAATAGATTTGTATGTTGGGGAATTACCACAGTTAAAACAACGTGAGCTTTTGTATGATTAAACTCACACATTAAGGAAACCTAACATTACTTCTTTATCCAGTCATTCCTAGAGTTATTACCAAATTAATTCCTATGCACATATTTCAAAGAGTAAGTAACTGGGGGTTTAATATTTGTACTGTGACCCTAGCATAGTACTATTTGGCAGGAGGTGAGGCACAAAACTGGGTGGAAAGCTAAAAAACAGATCTCCTAATATTGCTCAAGTTTGGGAGGCTTGAGTAAACTATACAGATATTTTTCCCAACCTCTCAAAATAAATATAATATTTTATTTATTCCCAGTAGCTATGCCACCATTCAATCATCTCCTTTGGACAAGAGCCACAAGAATTATAGAAGAAATATGACATGATGATACACTTCCTAAATCAGTTAAATTCTGCTTACCCACAAACATTCACTTATCTTCAGAGTTTTAACCCTAGATGACTTGACAGTCATTTACAAAAAGCAAATGGCTACTTACGAAGAGAAAATGCAATAACTTGCTATATACACAACATTGAAGCTTGAAGACAAAAATTTACATCTGTTACCAGATGAATTTATATCTTCTTCCCACCTTGGGAAAAATAATGTGATCACAAATAATGTTGAAAAGTTATGATGATGTGTTGCTTAGATGTTTAAAGTTCTAAATGTTGCCATCAGTAAGATAACACAATAAAGTTAATAAAGACATTGAAACCCTCCAATGCTATTTCTTTTCCCAGCATGAATTTCTACTTTCTTTTCCCCATTCTCTCTGCCAATAAAAAACATCCTCTCCAAAAACTCAAAACCTTGACTTTTATTTAAATCTAGCTGGTAGAGAAGAAAACGATCTCTCTCACATGCAATTTACCAAGACCAATAAGAATTTCTAGCAAATAAGTATAAGTTATTTGCCTAGGATCATTTTTCATACTTCTCTTATACTTGAATTGTTCTTTTAGAAAAGTATTAACATTCATATTAACAGTTCATGCCAGTATTTTTTCCATTGCACACACATTCCTTTTTGTTATAAAAGCATTCCACAGATAAATTTTCAGTTTGGCTTTTTTCACTCAACATTGTGTTTAATTATTTATTATATCAAGGAGCAATCACAACAATTATTAAGCATTTTCTACAAGGTGCAAACTTGACATACATTTAATCCTACAAAAAAAAACTTGTCAAAATGAGCACTATTACATCCTTTAAAGCCAGAATAAGGACAGTCAACATCAAACGGCTGGTAGTGGTAAAATCAGGATTCCTGACTGGAATCCTGCACTATATTGCCTTTCAGACACTTTACAACAGTAAATGATACAGTTTAAGTAACCATTCCTACTTTGTCAAAGAAACCAATCTCTTTTTCATTTGTGACATTGAAGCTCTTTGTGGACAAAAATTAATCAGCAACAAGCCCACCAAAAAATCATGAATCCAAAGATTTAACATCCAAACTTACTTATAACTTTCCACTTGTCGGCAGGAAGAGACTGTAATGAAGGAATCTGTACGAGAACTGTAGGCAAGAGGGCCAGGCAGAAGAAAGCCAGGGAGAAATCTTCCAAAAGCATAGCTCTCCTGCTCAAATACCATCAACATCCCATCTATAGACTGGATACAAATTAAATCTCGACCTAAAGAAGAATTAGAGGAAATTAGATGACCTATTCTTTTATAAATGTGAATAATAAAACATTTTTATTAATTACTATCTATACATGTATGTCATAGTTAATTTTCTCTCCAAGGGGCAAAACTGGTAGTTTAAATTTTAAATTACAAACCAGTAAAGCTATCAAGTTATTGACATCAGTATACATAAATTTCCCAATTTTTAAATTATTCAGGATATGACTTTAAGTACATTTATTTTTATTTACTGCGTGTTAAAATCTCTTAGCTCAAGGTAATCCCTGAGAACTATTATGACTCTTTACCATTATCATTAAATTATTATTAAATAATTATTATTACATTAAATAATTAAAATTATTAAACAATGACTCCATTATTTCCAAATTCAGAAATACAACAAAAGCTGTTATTCATGGAACTATTTATCTTCTTCAGAGTCTGTCAGTTTTATAATTTCAGATGACTTAGATACCCATCAAACACAACAAACTAAATCCATAGGTATGTCTTAGGCACCAATTTTACATAAATCATACTGTTAAGCTGCACTGAGTGTGAAAATACTAATAGTGAAAAATACCAATCCCTGATTGCCCTCAAATATAGACTGATCTTTTGATATCTTCTACCATTAGTCTATCAATATTAAATACAATATTCACAGTTCTTAAAATCTACTGAGATGATGGCAATGATGATGATTTCTATGACACAAATTAGTATCCCTCATCTGAGAAAGGTCTAGTGGTTATAACTTTTCATGTCCTATTAGTGTGATTCATGTATCCTGTAATGTATTATATAGGGAAAAATTATGTTAGAGGAAAATTAAGCTACTCATTAAGGGAATAAATAAAAGGCCAATCTTATACTTTGTCATCTCTAGCTCATACACCATATACAGTAAGTACTGTAGTAACTATTCTATATTACTTCGAATATCAGTGACAATCTTAATAGTATGCTTAAATTTTAAGGAGTGCTCAAAAAGAAATCAAATTTCATAGAAATAGATGATACTCTTATTGTTGTATCTAAGGACAATCATACAGCTAAGCAACTTTAAAATAGAGCACATATCAACAAAGGAAACGAAAAAGAGAGAAAACAAATTGAGTTTTGGAGTGCCTATTCCTGCATTATACTCTAACCCATCTCAGCTGATACAATAAATGTATCAACCTTAAATTGCCTGAAAGATGTTCTAGGATGAGTACTGTCTGCAAATGAATGTTCACTAAACATACATCTGAACCATTCAGGAATCTCTTTAGGGAGATAAAAATTGTATTTTAATGCTGCTTGAAAAGTATTTTCTCAATACTCAGATTCATTTATAACACATGGTAGGCTTTACAGTTACTTTTCTAAGCTTTGTTTTTAAATATTATCTTTATCTACTATGCTATTAAAAGTTTCCAAAAAAGATGTGAGTTTATATGCATGCTGTGTGTGTATGCATGCTGTACATCTGTATTCACAGAGACACAATCAGACAAAAAGAATCTCATCTAGCTATTTGGCAGTTCTACCTGGCTACAACTAGTAAAATGAATAAGTATAAAAATGCCTCTAAGTCATTGAAAAAAATGCTTTAAGGTCTTTGTAATAAAAATCATGCAAGTTTTCAAAGGTAGGATTCTCAGGTCTCACTAAGGGCATCAATTCCTATTTTAATTATGATTCTAACAATTGTCATTTTTATAAACAAGTTACTGATACTCCTGTAGCTTCAGCCTTCTCATTTGTAAAATGAGTATATTTGTATGAGAGCTCCAAGGTTATCAGCTAATCTTCAGCAAAGGCGCCAAGAATACACAATGGTGAAAGAACAGTCTCTTCAATAAGTGGTGCTGGGAAAACTGGATATCCACATGCAAAAAAAAAAATTGGATTCTTATCTTACACTATACAACAAAAATTCACTCAAAGTAGATTACAGATTTAAACCTAAGATCTGAAGTTATAAAACTCCCAAAGGTAAACATATGGTAAAAAACTTCATAACACTGGTCTTGGCAACGATTTTTTGGATAGGACACCAAAAGCAAAAGCAACAAAACAAAAAAGGCGGGGGGGGACTAGATAAAACTAAAAATTTTCTGCACAGCAAAGGAAACAATCAATAAAAAAAAAAAGATAATAGGAGAAAATATTTGCCAACCATATATCTGATAAGCAATTAGTCTCAAAAATATATAAGAATATCACAAAACTCAATAATAAAAAATCAAAACCACAATGAGATATCACCTCACACGTTAGAAAAAAATAAAGAAATCCAGCCATTTACAACAACATGGACGAACCTAGAGAATGTCATGTTAAATGAAATAAGCCAGACACTGAAAGACAAACATTACAGGATCTCACTCATATTTGAAATATTTTTTAAAAGTCAAATTCATAGAAACAGAGAGTACCAGGGGTCAGGGATGAGAAAAATGAGGAAATGTTGCTCAAATGATACACACTTACAGTTATAATACGAATACATTCTGGAGACCTAATGCACAGCATGGTGATTACAGCGAATAATAACGCACACTTAAAATTTATTAAAAGAGTAGATCTTTGTTCTCATCACAAAAAAGAAGATAATTATGAAAAGTGATTTATATACATTAATTAGCTTGATTCTGGTAATCCTTACACAATATATATGTATATCAGAACATCACATTGTACACCTTGAATATACACAATTTTTATTTGCCAATCAGATCTCAATAATGCCGAAAAAAAAAAAGAGTTCCAAAGTTAGAGGTAAGATGTCAAAGTCCCTAACACTACAGCACATATAAGGCACAGAATACATTATAGCATTATTAAGAAGGCTATTATTACCTGCTTCCTTAGCCCAGAAAAAAAGAAATTAGAAAGGGGGGGGTGAAGCAACTGTCAGCTGTGAGCAATGACAGCTAATATCCTAACAAAAAGAAAACAGAACATCTATAAAACACGCATCGAATAATTCAAAAGAGGATATCAGTCTGGGCTCAGTTAGCACAGGAGCAATTATGACCCCTATATATCTCAAAAAGAGAAATGTCATTATTAAGTGCAATTAGTATAGTTTGGTATAGCTCTTTTTTGCAAAAAAGAACTTGTAGCAGAGATGCTAACTGCTGCTCCCAACAGCCATTCTTTCTTTAGTAATAGAATCATGAATTATATTAGGAAAGGAGGAAGTCAAATTGTCTCTATTTGCAGATGGCATAATTGTATATTTAGAAGATCCCATCGTCTCAGCCCAAAATCTCCTGAAACTGATAAGCAACTTCAGCAAAGTCTCCGGATACAAAATCAATGTGCAGAAATCACAAGCATTCCTATACACCAATAACGGACTTAAAGAGAGCCAAATCAAGAACGAACTGCCATTCACAATTCCTATAAAGAGAATAAAATACCTAGGAATACAACTAACAAAGGATGTAAAGGACCTCTTCAAGGAGAACTACATACCACTGCTCAATGAAATAAGAGAGGATACAGACAGATGGAGAAATATTCCATGCTCATGGTTAGGAAGAATCAATATTGTGAAAATGGCCATACTGCTCAAAGTAATTTATAGATTCAATGCTATCCCCATCAAGCTACCTATGACCCTCTTCACAGAACTGGAAAAAAACACCTTAAACTTCATATGAAACCAAAAGAGAGCCTGCATAGCCAAGACAATCCTAAGCAAAAAGAACAAAGCTGGAGGTATCATGCTACCTGACTTCAAACTATACTACAAGGCTACAGTAATCAAAACAGCATGGTACTGGTACCAAAACAGAGATATAGACAATGGAACAGACAGAGGCCTCAGAGGCAATGCCACACATCTACAACCATATGATCTTTAACAAACCAGACAAAAACAAGCAATGGGGAAAGGATTCCCTGTTTAATAAATGGTGTTGGAAAACTGGCTAGCCATGTGCAGAAAGCAGAAACTGGACCCCTTCCTGACACCTTACACTAAAATTAACTCCAGATGGATTAAACACTTAAACATAAGACCTAACACCATAAAAACCCTAGAAGAAAACCTAGGGAAAACCATTCAGGACATAGGCATAGGCAAGGACTGCATGACTAAAATACCAAAGGCATTGGCAACAAAAGCCAAAATAGACAAATGGGGTCCAATTAAACTCCAGAGCTTCTGCACAGCAAAAGAAACAATCATTAGAGTGAACTGGCAACCAACAGAATGGGAAAATATTTTTGCAATCTACGCATCTGATAAAGGGCTGGTATCCAGAATCTACAAATAACTAAAACAGATATACAAGAAAAAAAAACCCCATTGAAAAGTGGGTGAAGGACATGAACAGACACTTTTCAAAAGAAGACATATATGAGGCCAACAAACATATGAAAAAATGCTCATCATCACTGGTCATTAGAGAAATGCAAATCAAAACCACATTGAGATACCATCTCACACCAGTTAGAATGGTGATCATTAAAAAATCTGGAGACAATATATGCTGGAAAGGATATGGAGAAACAGGAACACTTTTACACTGTTCGTGGGAGTGTACATTAATTCAACCATTGTGGAAGACAGTGTGGCGATTCCTCACGGGCCTAGAAATAGAATTTCCATTTGACCCAGCAATCCCATTACTGGGTATATATCTAAGGATTATAAATTGTTCTATTATAAAGACACATGCATATGTATGTTCACTGAGGCACTGTTTACAATAGCAAAGACCTGGAAGCAACACAAATGTCCATCGATGACAGACTGGACTAGTAAAATGTGGCACATATAAACCATGGAATACTATGCAGCCATAGAAAATGATAAGTTTGTCTCCTTCGTAGGGACGTGGATGAATCTGGAAACCATCAATCTCAGCAAACTGACACAAGAACAGAAAATCAAACACCGCATTTTCTCACTCATACGCAGGTGTTGAACAATGAGAACACATGGACACAGGGAGGGAAGCATCACACGCTGGGGTCTGTTGGAGGGGACTAGGGGAGG